GGGGGGGGCACATCTCCCCATTAGGCAGAAGGAGATATTCCTTACAAGAACTTTCACACACACACGAACGGAACTTAGGCGAACACCTTCTGTGTGCCAAGATGAAATATATTACCCTTACACCATAGACCCCTTCTGTTCTATTAAATAATATATTATGGACACATGTATACAACACACAGTTTAAAAATAAAAAAATCTATACAACGTTGTATGCTAACTAATCGTGCTAACGGTTATTAACCTGGGTTTTGGGGTAGTTTTTTTTTCTTTGGGGGTGGGGGGGGGGGCAGAGAAGTTACATAATAGCTTGATTTTTTTGTTTTGCATCTCGTGACATGTACATATTTTCCCCAGACAGCGGTAGCCAGTGACGTCAACGAAACTGCTCATAAGCTTTGGTTCTAATGTAGTATTTGCCCAGATCTTTGAAAGTCTTGAATGAATAAATGTGACGCCTAATGTGGAAATCAGGCGCTCGTCAAAATAATGAAATCAAAGAAATCGGCATTTTTGAAAATGTGATTTTGGCTTATATTAAATGTTTTTCTAATTATTTCTTTTTGGCTCAACACCATTTACGTCCATTTGAAAAAACATAATTATCTGTGTGGATTTAGCTAAAACAATGTTGATTTAAAGCACAACAATCTAAATATTCAGTTTCCAAGGACTCCCAGGCTATGAAGGTTATCAAACTTTGGCAGCCATTTTCTCGCTCAGTTAACCTCTGAAACCAGATGACCCTGACCTCCTTCGAATGGGAACATTTCTACTTCTATTCAACATAGAAGGATATAATATTGTTTTTACCCAAACGAAGGCAAACGAGCAGGCTTTAAAAGAATACTAAAACAAACCTACATGCTCAGAAATTGACGAGCGCCTGATTCTACCACATCGTGACACAGTTGTGTTTGCATGTGTACAGATTGTGTCCATAAAGTGGTTCAGGTTTTCGTGGAACTCCAATCTGGCTGCGGTGGTGGGGAAAATAAACATTGCTATAATTAATAACAATAATAATATTTATAATGTATCCCCAACCGATGTTCGAAAGTAATAAAAATGTGCAAACTTCTCTCGATGATGCCATTAAACGAAGTATGAATTTGTTGTACTGAAAATGGCTTTGGCTTGTTATGTTTAGCTTTAGTTTTAGTTTGAGTTGCTGGTACTTTAAGGTTGTTGTTGTTGTTGTTGTTGTTGTTGTTGTTGTTGTTGTTGTCTTTGTTTGCTGTTATTGTTGTTGTATTAATTGTTGTTGTATTTGTTGTTGTTGCTAAACTGTTGTTGTTGTCGTTGAGTGATGATGATGATGATGATGATGATGATGATGATGATGATGATGATGATGATGATGATGATGATCTATAATTTATTGGTACTGTCGTCTGCGTGAAACAAAGAACACCTATCCGTTATTCCACAGACGCTAGTGGAGATAGATAGATGGATGGATAGACAGAAAGGGCGAGAGCCACACACACATACATATACACACACACATACACTACATACACAAACACATACATACACACACATACACAAACCGACACACATACATACACTCACACAAAAACATACACACACATACACATACAGACACACGCTTTCCGCGGGCTCAAATAAACTTATGTAGTTGTGAGCGCTGTAAAACATTTACAATTTTTTAAAAAATCCAACGACACACACACACACACACACACACACAC